GGCGCTCGCCCTGCTGGGCTGTATCTTTGATCCCGGGAGGGGGATAGTTTAAAAAAGGCTCCCGCTTCCCTGAGTCGGGGGAGGGATCCTGCTTGCTCAGGGGGACCCCTCGCAAGCCCGGGTGTGTCGCCAAAGGTCGCGGGGCCGAAGCTCTTGACTGCTCGTGAGAAGCCAGAGCCAACCTTCCTGCGGGCTGGGCTAGAAAAACCGAGGGCTGCAGCTGTCCTGCCGCCGGTCCCGCCGCTTCGTACCGCACCTCGACGGCTCCAGCCTGGGCCGCAGCCCAGGGTGCGAACGCGGGAGGCTGCCTTTGGAAGAGGGGCACAAAGAGGGGATCGGTGATTCGCGCTGTGGGATACACGCTGCCAAGGAGGGGGACTGTCCGGAGGACGGATGCCGCCAGACGTCTGAGGTCCCTGTCGCCCTGGGGGTGGGATTCTCGGGTGACTAACTAAAGCTGAAGCCTGAAGACACCGCGCCAACATTCTGCCGCCCAAGAAATAGGTCCTGACAGCCCAGGTCATGCTTGGCTTTCTGGTGGGGTTCTGGAGGCTGCTGCCCTACGCTTGAATAAGGATGAAGAGATTCATTCCCCCGCCACCATCCCCAACGGGATGAAAGTATCAGAGGGAAAAGTGGCCCGGGAGACCAACAGCCACATCATCTTCCTGGCCCAACGCGAACAAACCTGCCCCACCCCTTTGGTCACTGGAAGCAGCACGGCGATTTTGGGCCCGGGGCTACCCCAGCTTTATAACACCAGCCCCCCCCCATAGCAGTTACTGTGACAAGAACGCAGCCTAAACGACCCCTCCCCCTTGCTTGGGGCTAGTTTCGACCGCTCTCACTTTGAGTACCGTTTGACCCGGGAAAGAAATCCTGCTGCTTTCACGTATTGCTCATTGGGGAAACGGGGGAAGAATCGGTTTTCTGTCTCTTGTATGAGACTTTAAGGGCTCCATAAGAGAGAACCGGCTTGTAGAGGTGGCAGAAAAGACGCACAGGATCCGTTCAGTATAGTCAAGACCCTGGCCACAAAATTCTGATGTCAGATAGCTGTGAGCTGAGTACTGATATGTCCAAAGCTCTCGAATCCATGTGCTAAGACTTATTGCCAAAGGATCAGCTTCCATATCTTAACCGGGGGATGAGAGAGCTCACTCAGTATTTCACTAGATCAGACCCAAGAAAGGGGTTATCAGATTTAGTGTCTGAGCATCTGCGGGGCACTGTCTGACATGCCCATGTTCTGTCCAATGTGCCTGGGCACAAAGGAACTTTTAAAGGGGTTCCTGAGAGGAGGGATCTTCTTCATGTGTGTGTTAAATCAGGCTCATTAAAACCATATTACATTGGAGAGTCCAATCCCACTGTCCTAACCCTAATTAAAACCATATTACATTGGAGAGTCCAATCACACAGTCCTAGGTAAAAGCCTGAGGGTGAAGTTCTGGTTTCATTGCAAACAATGGCAAAACTATTGACTTTAACTGCACCAGGATGTCATCCTGAGTGAACTAAATGGACATTTTGTTGAGTATGAAGAGCAGGATCTGGCCCTGAATGCTCTTTTCCAAGTCCTAACTACTCCTTGGTAGCTGTCAGACCACAGGGATAAGGGAAAGTTTGGTCTACATATAGTTTTGAAAGGAATAACTTTTCTTCTACACATGCTGAGCCTAATCCAAAGCAGACTGAAGTCAACAGACTCACCTCAGCCTACTTTGGATCAGATGCTGTTCATCCAAACCAACTTCCAGTAAAAATCAATGGCAATTTTGACATTGACTTCAGTTGAAGTAGAATTGGGTTTTCATTCAAAAAGGCTGTTTCTATTGTCACTTATCTATATTGTTGGGTGTGGGGAGGTTCAATGGAAAGAGAAAAGCATGTAAAAATGCAAGTAGGAAGCTGGCTGTGATTGATTTAAAAAAACAAAATGTTCCAAAGGATTCCTGTTGTATACACACGTGACATTTTTCATATGAAATGTGATGCTATTGAGTATCTGACATTAATTACAAGTGACTTTTTATGCAATCATTTGACTTTTATGTGACTCTATATAATATCAGTACCATAGTCTAAGTGGGGTATTGGATTTTTTTTCAAAAGAGCATTTTAATTGCTGCCATTTGTATGCTGTTTAATAAAGTGGACCCTAGTACTACAGTTCAAGGAAAAAGATAGTCTCTCAGTCAGTGAATTTTTCCCATTAAAAATCCATTTAAAGGTTTATAAACTGGATTTTTAAGCTCCAAAGTTTATTTCAGCCATTGTTAAATTATGCAAATTATTACAAAAGTAGTTTTTAAAGAATCAAACAGGTTTAAATGGTGGAAAGTGATTAGTCCATATAGTCATATGGTTAATTACTTTTGGTATTCGAAGAAAATTACAATAATTATTTCATAATACTTATCAAGATAATGACTTATACATACTTACTGGCTGCATAAGCTACGTTATTGTGCATAAGTGTATATTAAATGCATAGACTAGATCTCAGTTCCTCATGACAAAACTCACACAATGAGTTATTTTTTTTCTTTTCAAACAGCATTTCAACAATTTTAAAAAAAGGAACTGCATGTACATCCAGAAAGAAACAGAGGAGGACCAGAGGTCAGAGCCTGAAACCCAGTTCTGAGCTGGTGAATATGGACATAGCTCCACTGGCATCAATAGAGCATATGAGGTTTTATACTAGAAGAGGAGCTGGCCTCTGATATACTTTTCCCCCCAAAGTTCAGGGGGGGTTGCCCCTGAGTGAAATCTTGCTCCTATTAAATTTTGTTCCATCTCTTTAAAAGCTATTCTAGTGGCTGTCTTGAAATGAAAAACAAAAACAGTCTTTATTCTTCCATCAGTTGGCATGCTGAACTGCTGAAGAATTCATCTGGAGTTGTGCATGCACAGCAATGACTGATTGTGGCCTCCTTTCAGCTCCATTGCCACTGTGTTTTTGCACTACAGAGTATGTGGGGCCAAATCCTCTTCACATTATTCATGCAAATAGTCCCACTGAAATGAACTCTGAATGTCCTGTCTTTGGTCCATTTAAGACAGACCTCTTTCACACTTTTAAGAATTTTTGTTGTTTTGTTCCATGGAACCCTACATATTTTCACAGAGTTTTTATAACTATTGTAGAAACTGAGACTCTTGTCTTCATTCTTTCCTCTGTTTAAATTTTATTTACATAATCTTTCAAGGTCAGGAGTTGACTTTATTGCAGTGATTGTATTTCTTTTTATAAAAAATGGTTGTGATGCATTTTTTTAGTCCATTGATTTATAAATGGTTACAGCCAAACACTCATTCAAGTGCCATTTTGCTACATTCTGGATAAAAAATACAGACATTTTAACCATCTCCACAGAAAAGACTTGAATATATGAAATACATTTTAAACATTTCCCCTTCTGCTTCAGGGACTGATCCGGTTTCCACTGAATTCAATTGGA